CATCGGGACGGCTCCTCCTCCTCCTCCTCCTCCCCCCCCCGGACCCGCCCGCGCCCGTTGGAGCCAGTCGGCCACCTCTCTCCGCAGGAGGGTGTGCTCGTGGGCAGTCAGGGCCCTCGACACGTTGACCCCGCGGTCCTCGCGCAGCGCGGCGACGAGCCGCTCCCAAGGATCCAGACTCTGCTGGCGGTGGTTCTTGCTGCTGCTGGAGAGGAACGGAGGAGAGGGGGCCCGTGATTGTTGTGGGGATGATGATGATGATGATGATGATGATGATGATGATGATGATGATGATGATGATGATACTGCTGAGTTCTTCTTCACGACCGCCCGGTTTTCATCCGCTCCTCCGCCGGGGGTGTTGTTGTAACGGTCGCCCGCAGCAAAGGCGGCGCGGCGGTCCTCGTCGTCGTCGTCGTCGTCGTCGTCGTCGTCGTCGTCGTCGTCGTCGTCTTCGTAGTCCCCGATGACCTCGGACCACAGGCGGGCGAAGATCGCCGAGCTTTGGCCGCTGTACCCGTCGCGGTTGTCGCGAGAAGAGAAAGAGACTTTATTGGAACCGAGGGCGGAAGCGGCCGGAACGGTAGCAGCAGCGCCGCCGCCGCCGCCGCCGCCGCCGCCGCCGCCGCCGCGGGTCGCGTGGTTCTCGTGCGAGAATCCTTCTTCCAGGGCGCCGTTGTCGCTGGGTTGGAGAGACTCTTCGGCCGCGCCAGCTCCATCACCGTCGGTGCCCCCGAAGGCGGTGCTTTCGTCTGGCGAGAAAGGATGGAAGCCGACGTGTTTGTGGGCTCCCGCGGTAGCCCTCGCCTCCGCCGACTCGGTCACCTCGGCCCCGCCCGCAGTAGCCAAGGCTAGGAGACTGCTCCACATGGGCGCGGTTTGCCAGTGACTGTCGGAAGAAGGCGTCTCCCGGGCGAGATAGCGCCGGCTGAAGTCGTCGACGTCGACAACCTGACGCGGGGCATTGAAGTGAGAGTCAAAGACGGACGTCGGGCGAGGATGTTTGGGATTGCGAAAGTTCCCGACTGGCCGAAAACCTCCAGCGTAGGGTGCCGCCGAAACAGGATTAACCACATGTCGCGCGGAGTGCTCCCTCCGCTACAAGAGCACGGAATTTTTGGGAGGTCAAGTGTTGGGGGTGCACGTTCGTCATCGTGATGCTCTAAATGGAGCGTCTCCCCGCCTGCCGGCACGCCGAGTGTGGCGGCGGCGGCGGCGGCGGCGGCGGGGAGGTAATCCTGATTTCCACGCCTTAGCGGCTAGACCATTGACCACGCGCCCTCGAGAGGACGGAGCATTGTTCACACAGCACCGATCACCGATGGCCGATCGTCCCTTCCTACTCTGCCAACGGCGGCTGATAACATGTTTTTCCTACCCTATCTGTCCGATCGATATCACGTGCCGTTTTTTCGGCCCACTCCCCATGCCCCAGTCTTGCTTGGGGGGGGGGTCAAACTGTGCGACGTACTTTGGGGGACACCAGCCCTTACCTCGAGCGATACGCTCGGGAGCTTGGCCACGGAACCGATGTGGAAGTCGCGCGCCTTGAACGGCTCGCCGGTAGCCTCGTTGACCATGTCGTGGCACCTCGCGAGGTAGACTCCCCTGTACAGGCCGCCAGCGTTCTTCCCCAGGTTGTGGCTGCCCGTTCAGTTCGGTTCGCCGAACATGGGATGGCGGCGGCGGTGGTGGTGGCTGTGACGTCGAAATGGGCATGACAATCCTACCCGGAGAGACGAAGCAGCTGAGTGCACAACAAAACGCGTATGGCATGGCACGCAGCCTGGGGAGCGTTCTTGTCCGCCTCACCCCTCGGCCGAGCAGCAGCTGCCTCCTCGGGCAAGCGTGCCAGCAGGGAGACCCGGCGAGCGGGCGCGAGAGGAATGCTGTCATATCGCCCAAGGAAAAAACGAAACTGAAAAAAACGCGCCGCAACAAACGTAGAAAAGTGCGACGATGGTCACCTCGTGTAGACCGAGAGCGCATCGTCTTCCGGGTAGAAGCGGATGATGAACACGTTGTCCCTGGTTGACGTCGTCTATTCATTCCCCCCATGGCCAGCCACGGCGGGGCAGGTAGAGCAGGAGGCAGGCGGTGGCGATCGGAAAGGTTCGGTGCATGAGGGGAGGGGAGAGATGAAACAAATTGGTACATTTTTTTTTTGCTCGTCGAAATGTTGGAGATGTTGACGTCGGTGAAACAAACGTCACGTGCACACGCCGCCACGCCGAGCTCACAGTCTAGAACCGAGCAAACGCGCGTTGGACGAGCGTATCGCCGAAGCCTCTCCGCAGGAGCCATGGCCGCGTTTAAAGCTCTGCAGCTTTTGGGGGGTTGTGAGCGAGGTGTTGCCGTTGCTGATGTGACGAATGTAATTTGTTCGAAGAACACCTGCTCCTACTCGGCAGAAACGCTGTGCGTGAGCGCTGATTAAAGTTTTATGTAAATAGAAAAAAACAACGAACACCTTGGTGTCTTGAGTCGCCTTCGCCAAGAACCGCAGAGTCTTCCCCGAGTTTTCAGACGCCTGCCCGCCGGGTCGTCCGGGCAGTCGAAGAGGAAGAAGGTCGGCAGGGCGTTTCGTCGTACGAACGGCCGTCGGCGATGTCATCGAGAGACGAGGTACAAGGGCAACAGGAAAGGAAGGAAACGAGGGCCAACAAGAGAGGGTCGCTCGGCGCTCTTCTGGCGCAAAACGTTGAGCATTCCTGCTTCACGAACAGAACGTGGGAAGAAAAAAAGTATCCTGCTGACCTTGTGCTACCCCTGGTGTGGGTTTGGGTTGGGCAACACGTCAATCCTTTGTTTGGGGGGTTCGTATTTTCCGTGAGAGTGGGCTCGAACCGGCATGTTCCGACGACCTTGTCAGCGCTTCCAGCCAATCACACACCGTTCATGGAGACTACGTCACCGTGTATAGTAGGGGGGGCTAGATATACAGACATAGCGGTGGTGATACATACATCGATTTTTTTTTCTTGCTGCCTGCAATGCACTCCTTACAGAAAAAAAATAGAAAAAGAACAACGCGCACCACGTGTTTAAGAGAAGATTCTGCGTAGGAAGGTAGAGCATCTTGTCGCCCGGAAACAAACCACTACCCTTTCCGTGGAAATCGATCCAGTCTATCCGGGAGTGAGTAGTGAACGAATCCAATCGAGTTTTACACCTCTCTGTTTTGCTTTCGCGAGGACGAGGACTATTGCAAGCTTCTTGTAAGACCGAGAAGAAACCTGCCGGCCAAGGTTTTCCCCCGCCACCGCTTTCTCCTCAACAAGCTCGAACCACTACCCGAATGTACCGTTGCTTAGCTTCAACAAAACCCGGAGAAAACAAGCACACAAAGCCATCAACATCAACCCACCTTGAAAAATCTCTCCCGCAGTGTTCCCGTCCGCTGCGGCGGACCCTCGTAGAAGGAAGACTTGGGCTTGTTGGGGGGGCGCGGCTGGGATTGGCCCGGGTGGATGCACCGTTGGAAGTCCTCCAGGTCTCCTTGCAGCCCGCGCATGTTCGTCCCTTCCAAACAAGTGTCGGTCGGTGGTAATATTGTAGCAAAGGCGGGGAAGGGCGGTGCGTGGAGGGGCGTAGTACAAGGGTTAGATCTGGCGTGCGGGAATCTTCGGGGTACGTAGAGGGCCAAAGCTTCGCAGGCGAGAGAGAGACGCCACAATGACGTTTGAAACTCTTATATCTTTCGTGATCCTCGACGAACCCCGGGAACAAAATGTACCTACGTACCTACCGTTTTTCGTGGGCTCGGAACGCCCTCTTCCTTCGAGGGCCTCAAAACCACAAGGGCCGAGGATCTTCCTGCATCTGTTTCTCATCTACCAGAACAGCACCCCCCTTTTCTTACCCTTTCCGCCCCGAATACCCTCACCGGTCAAGTTCTCCCACCACACGTGCGCCGTCTCGTCCCACCCGCAGACCACCATGGGCCGCTTCATCAGCAGCACATGCCGCCCGACGACGAGGTCGAGCGGGGACAGGGTCTCTCCGAGATCATCTCCGAGATCATCCCCTCCGCCCCCCCCGCCGGCGCCGCCCCTATCAGAAAAATAACTCCCCCCGCTGCCGATGCCACTGCTGCCTCCTCCGCCGTTGGTTCTCCTTGCCGATCGCGGCGTGGTGGCAGCAGCCGCGACTGCCCGGTCGCCACCGATGCGGTCGACGCTCAGGCTCGGCGTGCTCCCTCCCTTGAAGACCTTCTGCCGCCGGATCATGACGGGGAAACGACCTTCGAAGTAGTTGCCTGTTGCGCAATGATGCAAAAAGGACGGTTTTTCGACCGGAGAAGCACAGGAGAGTGCATGAAAAAACGATGTGGGTGTGTCACAGGGCCACAGAAATAAGCAAGGAGGAAGAACAATCGTTCTTAAGTCTATTTTATATTTCGGTTCTTTGTCCCACCTCCCTTGATGTCGGCGGTACAGAGCCGCAGAAATAATCAAGGAGGATAAACCCGTCCCTGTTGTTTTGTCTCTCCCTTGTTTTCCACTTCTAAAATAGGCCCGTCGTCTGTCGACGCAGAAGTCTTTCTGTTCTCCCTTCTCACCTCCCTTGATATCGGCGAGCTCTCTCATCTCGATCGTGCCGTCCTCCAGGAAGTAGTGAAGGATGTACCGATGCACCGTAGCGGGACCGGAGACGATGCCCTCGTCTTCGTCCCACCTGCAGACAGACAGACAGACAGACAGACATGCACGGTATTCCGATTCACGGAGGCGAGCCGTTGCACACATCAAGCAAGGAGCACGTGGGGAAACCACTCTGCAAGGGTGCTACAGTCCGTTTGCGATAATTCTTGCATTTCGATGTCGGTTTTAAGAGGTTTTTTTTTTAGGTTCGGTGAAGCCACGGCATCGCTCTCTCTCGCGCGCGTTCTGCATCGTGGGGCGGAACGCTCCGTGGCGTGATGCCCTTGTACGCTTCATTGTTTTACTACTAGCAGTAGCAGTAGCACCCTCGTACAATGTCTGTACTGCACATGTAAACAACAAGAACATAATCACGACACACAACCATCCATACAAAAAAACGAGCCGGCCATCAAAAGGGTAAGGCACGAGTACCCCTTGATCCGAAGGAATAACCTTTGTTCCACACGGGGGCCGCACGCCGCGCGTTGTTCTGAAGAGGTTAGTCGTGGTCCACATGGAGATGAAATCGGACATATTTTAATAGGTACGTACCTGATGTACATCCTCAAGAAGCCGGGGGGGTCTTGGCCAACCACGGAGCCGCTGGCGCCATCCCAAGACGGCCAAGTCTCCGTCGACATCGTGCTTCCCGCTCGCCAGCCAGGGCTACGGCATGACCCTGACATTGCGGTTGAGTTCTGCGAAGGGCGCGGCCGGACGAAAGACTGTTGGGAGGCATCCCAGACTGAACCCTTATGAACAATCGGCTGTAGGCGGGGCGTGAAAAATTACGAGCAAGTTTGAAACGTACACCATGGTTTCGTGAGCAGGGAGCACTGGAAGGGGAAGCATTGCTTAACTTCGGCGAAGGTCTTTTAAGGAGCAGGAACCGTGCATGTGTGGTGCCAGCAGGCGTCCTCCTGAACAACGTGTTGTTTTTCAGTCACCCGTCGGCGTTGAGAGACTAGGGGACCCTCCGCGAGAGGGGTTGAGGACATGGGTCCTTCTACGTTCGGTTCGGATGTACAATCGCCGCCCCCGCAATAATAGCTCGAACACCGCATTGGTGCTTCACCGCGAAGCGGCCCTTGTTCTGTTCGTTTTAGCAGTCCGTCCCGCCGTATCGGACGCCTAGCAGCCAAGCGGGGTCCATCTGGACAAGATCCGGCTCAAACGTAACCCCCCACCATGAATGGTGGTCAAGTAGATTATGTTGTGCGGGGTCGAGAACTCTCACTCCGCGCAAAGGGGATGATCGCACCGCATTGTGTTCAAATGGTCAAGCACCCCCGAGGCAGTTACACTGTGCTTATAACTGCCTCTCGAAGTGATAACACCAGAAATTGAATGACGTCATACACAGCTGTCATCTGTACGCAAGGAAGTAAGCACAAGATGCCGAAAACCCTTGGCAGGATGCAACGCACCCTTCATGCGACTCGCCGAATTCCTCACGGTGCTTCACGCTTGGTGATGTGAGAGCCTGGTCCGGTGAGAACCCGGCGTGCTCCGTCCCGGCTTTGGGATGCGAGGTCAATGGTCTAACGACTACGGCATGCACGACTATGAGTACACACACGAACACACACACAACACACACACACACACACACACCTGATCTTGGGGAAGCATATAATATCCAAGTGGGACTACCGTGCTGATGGCGTGCATGACACCACACTTTTCGCGCGCGCGGCTTACTCCTCAACAGCAACGTGTTACGCTCCTGTCCCACCGCACCTGGGGTGTCGGCAGAGGGCCCCTGCGCGGGGTGACGGAGAACGTCTTGTCGGGCACGGGTGGGCTCTCCGGGGGTCCCAACCCTGGAATGGACCGCCGGGTGAAGCCGTCCGCATCGTAGACATGAACGCGCGTGCCGTTAATCTGCAGAACGGTTCCGTCATCGGATCAGACGAGAGTGAATTTTATGATGAAGCACGACTATCATGGAGCCTTCTGTCCGAGAAGTGGATTTTGAGGATTTTTTGTTGGTGGCGGGGAGACAGTGGCAGGGATTGTTCTGGCCACGGCCTTGTTGTCGAGCTGACTGTTGGTACGGTCTTATTTCGAAATCGACAGAAAGACACAGAGGGACAGCTACTCATAAGAGGGGAATCGACAGAGTGAGGTGGACAGAGAGAACGCCGGGGGGGGGGGGGGGGGGAACACTTTGTCCGAGGCTGACGAACTTGAACCATATGCCTC